CCTTTTTAGGAGATACTATTGGACTCTGTGCTCTTCTCATCCCCTACTGCAGGTGATACAGTGGATCCCGGGATGCTTACTCATGAAAATGTCTGTGAGAAGCCAGCTTACATTCCTGGGCTTATCCTTAGCTGTCTTGATTCAGGATCTTTTCTTCCATTTTATTCTGAAGGAGAGAGGAAGAGAGGAATTCTAGAGAGTGGGAAAGAGAAAGACATGAATCTTTTTCCATTTCTTTCTCTTTCTCTTCCCAAGTAGAAGGATTGGTGGAATATATCTTTCAGAGTTGAGATAGACTTTTTTTAAAAAATCCTATTTTAAAGAAGTTTATCCAGCATGTCATCTGGCAGGGAAGTAGGTCTTGTAATTTCTATAGGGAAGGGAATTGCATGAGCAGGGAGAAAGGAAAAATGAGGTTAGGTTTAAATAATGCTGTTTTAAAACCAGATGTGAAATAGGTAAGTCAGCACATTTTTTTAAAAAATTTAATCTCATCCTAGAATAGGAGGAGGTGTGAGATCTGTGTGTGGGCTCTCTGGAGACCTATACCTGAAATAGCTTTATTTAAACCCTGGACTAGAACTGAGGAAGAAGAATTTCTACAAGTTCCTCTTTGCTTGAAATTGCCTTCTTTCTAGAGGATTTCCTTGAAGTAGCAATGTCATCAGAGGATTTTTGTTGAAGTGGCTCTATTTTCTAGAAGATATGCAAATCAGGGTATTCTTGTTCATTTTGTATTCTGTCTAGCTCTTAAAATTTCAAAGAGCCGAATGTGGTACATCCTTATTAAATGCAGGTGCTTTCTGCCCTGTTTACTTCAGACAGTTGGATGCCTATAGTAGTTTAGACTGATGGTTTGTAAGCTGTTGAAAGATGCCAAAAACTAAATGTCTCCAGTACAGTGGAGCCTATAATCTAGTGTCCACGAAGATGAGGGCAGTATGCCAAGTAAAGCCGGCTTAATTTTTCAAGTAGGAGCCCTTTGCAGAAGGATTCCTGGTAATTAACCAATTCAGAATGCAGTATTTTCTTTTCATTAATTTGGCAGAAAACAACTAAATATCTATAGCAGAAATGTTTTTGACATTTTCATTTGCTTCTTGGAAAATAATGGATACTTTGAATTGGGCATTAAAAAACTGCTAGTATTTTGTCATTTCCATTTTAATTTCCTAACAAAAAGTAGATGACACAATTAGCATTAAAAAAAATGAAGTTGGAGTACTTGGCTACAGGAGTGACCAGAATTGATTTATGTTTTAAAGTGATTGGCTATTAGGAGATTTTTAATGAGTTTATTAACTCAGACTTATTGCAGTTTACATATCCTCTGTATGTCTGAGCAATAGAATTCCATTTGTTTTGATAATTTCATATACTTGTACTCTTCTCAAGTTCATTTGTACTCCAAATATTGCATAGCATTTCTTCCTCTTTTGTCTCTTGGTTTAAAGAAATTTTTGTTGTAGAATTATTAACTTTTAACTTAAAATGTACTCAAGGCCTGCCACACAGCATGAGGCATTTTCAGTAAATTTGGAACTAACAGTCTATTAGGCAGAATTTTCCCTGGAGAAATTAAATGGTGTTTGTTTTAGAACATCTTAGTCTCATACACTCATTTGCTGATAGTGATTTATTTCTCTACTAAAAACAAAATCTCTTTTTATATTACTCATACCTTTAATTCTAGATATTAACAACTTGATTGCAAATATAACACTAATCCCTTCTGCAATTTTGACACATTTCCTAAGTATACTTTCACCTCTATTGTCTACATAAACTAGATCATTTGGTTAAAAAAATTATTCTTATTGTTAACATTTCTTTGCTGGTAAATATCTATACACAGAAATGGGGGAGAATATTGGATCAATCCTGAAATCTCAAAGAACAGCTTGGCTTCTCGGGAAACTAGAATTTACCATCAGTGAAACCATTAGAAACTGGGATATTACCCTTCTCATCTTTTATGCTTGCTTCTGTGTACATGTTTCTTCCTTCACATTTTATAAACTTTATTTTCAGTGCTTTTATATATACTTTATCAAAGACAAGTCACCTACCACCGGTGTTAATCAATTAAAATGACAAGACTCAGGACAGTTTTCATTCCAAAAATCTCAAGGGAATTTAGGCCAGGACTTCTGCTCTTGATCTAATCAGCTGTAGCCAAAAGGACACCATCAAAAAATGTAAATTAGGCTGCAGTGGTCCCACTCCAGTAGAGGGCAGTGTTTTAAAACTGAGTTGACACTTTAAGAGGTATCTGCCTTCTAAAATTAAAAAGTTGATAGATAAGTAAAATATGCTTAGTCAGTATAAATCTTTGCCTAAATATATCAGGAACTATGCTAACTGGTAGTGATTCAGTGGTGAATGAGATGAAAATAGTTCTTACCCTTGAGGGAGCTTACCTTCTCGTAGATTAAATGGACTTTTAAAAGTCAGAATACAAATAAATAAAATAATTATACAATGTGATAAATGCTTTGAGGAAGACATATAATGCCAACATAGAGAACCACATTTGTAGTGGGGAGGGTGGAGAAAGAAGGATATTTACTTTCTGTACTATTTTCTGAAGAGGTAAAATTAGGATTTGATTTGAAGGAATAGATACTATGTTTCTGTCAGGTAAAGTAGTGTGTATGTAGAAGGGTCTAAAGTACCAGAAACATTTGTTTGCTTAAGCAAACAAAAGATGATCACTATGAATGAACATGGAAGAAGAGATTGGAGACACATTTGTGAATAACAGTGAGATTTTGTATTATCTTCATGAACCAAGACTGTGATATTTTTAAATCTCACTGAGTTTATTGATACTTTTTAAGTGTACAGTACATTCATCATTGGGATCTTGTACCTTTACATGACAGATCTTGTTTCTCATTTTCCCCCATACCCCAGCCCTCCCTTCACCCCCCATCCTTCCCTTATTTACAAAGATTTTGTTTCCATTTTTTCCATTTCTCATATTTTTTCTTGTCCCTAATTTCCTTTCCGCTACCTTTCCCACTTCCCCTACACATTTAGCCCTTTTCTTCCTAAGACTGTGATTTAACTTAGTAACATTTAGTAGAAAATTTAAAACCACATTAAAGGTAAGCTTAAATGCTCAGGTGAACATAAACAAAGAGCTCCATAATGACATACTTAACAATGATATAAGAAAGAGCATAGCATACTGTTGGCAACTTGGTTTTTATTATTCATTTGTTCCTTGCTCAGATATTTATTGAGCACTTTATTATGTGCCAGGCACTGTTCTAGCCACTAGAACATTCTGATTTTGTTTATCCTGTGGATCACATAATAAGATTTCTTTTGATTATCATTGAAAAAAATCATTTTATTCTCTTAAATGTCCATTTCTGTTGTTGGGGATTTTGAGGGACATTGAATACATAGAGTATTTCTTTTAGGAAGCTGTGATAATTTGAATACATGAATCATTTATCATAGTTATGAATAAAAAATAAGAAAACCTGGAAAAAATAGAATTGGTAACCTTTGGTAGGTTTGAGATTTTTAGATTTTCATTATGATAATTTTCTTGACTCTGCAGTATACTGTGAGTTTGAAGCCACAGCAGAAACTTGTGGCTTGGCAAACTGTTCAAGGAGATTGAGGACTTTGCAAATCAAAGAGACACTAATTCCCCTTCTCTATTATAGAAAGCAACTACAAAGTAGATTTGTTTCTGCCATGAAGATAACATCTACATAGTAATTTAAATGAGTCGGTGGAGAGGTCTGTTTATCCTGAGACCATTTACCAAGTGTCTTGCATTTGTTGGCCTGCCCAAATACTTAGCTAGTGAATGCAGTGTATATAAGCCAAAAATCCTGGATGAAAGGGTTAGGATTGGATTACTACCTATGAAAACCGAGAGGGAAGAAAGCCTCATCTAGTACAGTGGAAAAATTCTTGGGGACTCAAATCCTAGAGTCAGATACTATAGTCAGGTTCTGTAAGATTTGTTTTAGCAAATTTGAAAATACCTTTCATTATGTGTATCGCCACAACTACAGTAAAAACACACAATTGTATTTTATGATGGTCTTGGTATATAGTTTGTTAAACATTTTATGTCCTAACTTTTCAGTTCTGATTTTTTTAAAAGAAATTGAAACAGTTTTTGGGCTTCTGATAAAACTGGTCCCTGGGTACTGTGCCTAATGGAAAAATTTGCCTTATTTTTAAGTATTTGTTTAGCTAATCAAATCAAGTATCTAAGTCAGTTAAAAACTTATGCATCATTTGTTACTATCCAATCTATGGAAGTGTTTTATAAATATTTAAGGCTTTTTTAATGTTTACATTTATTTCTCATTTAAATCTTTTCTGGCTTGTCTGGGAATAGGTAGATTATTTGTAGTCTTTAACTATAGTATTATGGTAGTAAGATCAAACTATTTTCTATATTGGAAAGGACAGTGTGTCTCATAACTCAAATTTTGTATTTTTAATTTTTATCTGAATAAAAACAGGCAAACATACTTTAGTAAAAGAATATGAAAGGAATAGGATATCATAGTATGGATTCTTTGCTTATGCTATTATTGTACATAAAAAAGGAAAATAAGTATGAGAAATGGCTTTGAAAATGCAACTTAAAACATTTTTGCTTGAACTTTAGAAGCTTCAAATTGATTGCATGATAATGTTTCCCATTATTATGTAATATCTTAAGGTTTTAATATATTTTATCAAAATAACAGCATTATATCTGCATTCAACTCAGGCTCATAAAATACATAAATTAGGCATGAAGAGTAGAAATATAAATTGATAGGATGGAGAAAAGAAAACAAGAACAATTTAAAATAATATGGACAAGAGCCTTTGCTACTGTCCTTGGTGGAGTAACTGGTGCAAGATTAATCTTGCCATAAAAATGACAAAATTGAACAGATATTAGATTCAGTTTTCTTAAAGAATTGGAAATAGGCAATATAAGAAGGTATTTGGAAGAAGAGTTCCATACTTACTGTGGCTGATTGCTTAACAACTCTTTACTGACTGTATGACAAGGACCTGGAATCCAAGCAGGAACAGTGGTATCTCTGAGCTGAGAAGGTATAATCAGAATTTAGGGTGGTGAAATAGGTAAAATCTGGAGTAGGGCACTATATAGGAGAAAGTGATATAAAAATGGGGGTGAAAATTCTGAAAGTGTACTTCCCTTTAGTCTTTGGTCAAGAGATGGTCTGGATTTGTATCAAGTAAGACTCAGCTTATTATAAATTGTCTACTAGGGATATGAGAATGGATGTGTCTGTTAAAATGTTCTTGGAGCCTTGTCCCAAGCAAGTAGAGAGATGTTAATTAACATCTGAACCATGTAGTTGAGAACCAAAAAATTCATGACTTGAATTAAATCCATATTTGCTGCTATAACAATACTGGGTAATGCATAAGAACAAAATTTTATTTTCTCCAGTTCTACAGGCTTAGAAGTCTAATGTCAGGTCATCAGTTGCTCGGTGACGGCTGCTCTCTTTTCCAAAATGGCACCTTTAATGCTTAGGCCTCAGCGGTGAGCAATTCTATGAGATTCATGCAAAAGCTAGAAGGGGAAGAGAGCTGAATTCTGTGTTAAGACTGCCCTGTAAGGCTCTTAACTACAGTCATGGAGGAAAGCTTTCCTGAGTTAATCATCTCCTAAAGGCTTTACCTTTAATAACATCACATTGGTCTCTTAAGTTGTAACCCTTAAATTTTGGAGGGGCCTTGTTAAAACCTGAGGAAGGCTTCCTCTCTCTCCACCCTACCATCATTAATCTAGATTTCAGCAACAAGTACAGGAGGACAAATAGAAGTCTAATATTCCATACTTGAGGACCTTGAGAAACACCTTAAGCCTTTCTCACATTTCACACACCAACGTAAACAAGTTCAAGATATTAAACCAATGATAGTAGTGCTTAAGAACCAGCCTTACCACTCTTCAAAAGAACAAAACACAGAAGTGCTCTATATTTTATTATCACAATTATTCATTGTATTAAATTGCTAGATATGTAGAAGAACTATAGAAAAATACATATAATCAAGAGAAGAAATGAGTAATAGAAACAGACCTTGAGATGGCTTGGATATTGGTTTTAAAAGTTAAAGGTCTATTGTATGTACACCAATGCAAAATATTTAAACACAAATACAAGCAAACAGACACACCATGATTTTCATGAATGAACAGAACAGATTGGCTGAGAAATGGAAACTATAAAAAAACTAAATGGAAATTCTGTAACTGGAAAGAAGAATAATTATTTGCTTTTAACTTGGTGAGTTCAGGGTTAGCTTGAACTACATGGCAAGACCTTGTCTCAAAAAAAAAAAAAAAAAAGGAAAGTACTGTAGGCTCATTGGAGAAAATATATAACCATATAGATGTAAAATTTGCCTAGGGATTTCATCACTTTTGACCCATTTATCCTACTGATTCTATTTTGTCATAAATAATTTAAAATAATATGATTTGTTTTTACTAAATCATACTACTTTCTAAAATAATCCCTAAATTCTGATCTCTGTTTAAAGTTTTATCATAAATTAAACTAAAATTTTATCTTAAATTAAGCTGGAATTGGTATCTTTTTTTGACAAAAGCTCCTGATAGATTTATGTTAAATGTAGTATAATGTATGTGTGTATAAATGTGTGTGTATGTGTGTGTGTGTGTATATATACATGTTTTAATGATTAATTATAGATGAGACATTACAGAACTGTAGTTGAAAGTTGTATATATTTTCTATTTCTGTATAATAAACCATAAATATATAATTTTTCAATCATTAAAATTCTCATTTATTAGAGTGACTGAATTATTGATATTTATCATTCTTTGTCTCCCATATTTGAGAAGATACTGCCCTGCTTAAAATTTTCCACAGATAACTATGGATATTTAAATTTTTATCCTTATTGAACTGGTATTTGGATAAAATAAAATTGAAGTGATTTGGCATCTGAAGTTCATGAGAGAAAGCTTACTATTTCATTTTTATTCAGAATTTTGTTTAATCAGAGGAATATAAGATTGGAATCAGCAATGATTCTCAAAAATCCAAAAGTGTTGAGTCAAAATGTCAGTCTTACTGTGATTTAATTAAGTTTTTTAATCTGTACATAATTGAAATATTTAAAATGACAAGTGTCATCAATTCTGGCATTTTTCTGCTCTTAATAGCAACAATACCAGCATTCTTTTAGCTGTTTTACCATCTGGTTATTTTGTGGTCTGGTTATTACAAGTTGTGTACTTATATTCTCAGTGCTTTGATATAAGTATTTGGGACTTGGAAAGAGGTTTGAGAATAATGGGATGTTTTGTGGAGCAGAGCCTGCCCTTACATTATCTATATTTGCCTCATCCTTTTAGAGGTAATTACTCCAAACATAAAGTTGATGATGGCCCTTGACCAGCTTCTAATTGATTGACGTAAATTCAGAAGAGATACGACATTTTCCTGTATTCACACTATCATGATATTCATCATGACATTCATGATATTCATCACTATCATGATATAATCTGGATTCATTAAATCCTAGACTGATATTGGGAAAGTAATTGAATTGTACCTTAAAACATTTACAAGTTTAAAAATACCTGCTCATTGATAATGTCTAGGACTGGAATGTAGCTCAGGGGTAGAGTACTTTCCTGGCATGTAACAATGCAAAAACAACCCAGACAAAAATGAAAGATGCTCAGTGAATGGGGACTTAGATTATGTCAATAATAACACCAGAGTTACTTTATAGATTTAGCTATAAATTCCAAAGCCAACTTTAAGTCTTATTGACCTCTTCTGCATGTAAATCCATTTTCCTTTGTGTTTTATAAGTAATAAAAACTAATAAAAAATAAAAATAACTCATTAATTTAAGCCTCACACAAAAGACATTGGCTCTTGAAACTGCAAAGATACCCTAACTGCAAAGATACTCCAGAGGCTGAGGGAGGAGGATTGCTGGGTTTGAAACCAGCAAAACTGCAGAGTGAGTTGAAGGCCAGCCTCAACTACATAATAAGACCCCGTCCCCCCAAAAAATAGTTCACTCATTTTAGTTTGAAATATTCTTTGTTTAACAACTGAGTTCCAGTTCTGCTCCTGGGTTGTTAATTGAATTGGTGCTAAATGAGGATATGTATACAGGATGTACTTTGCAGTATTCAGAACAAAGAAATCATCAAAGGAATCTCCAACTTGATTACTTTGATTTTATTTGCATAGCTCTTACTTGTGGTAATAAAATGTATAACAGAACATAAACTTACAGTACAATCAGCAAAAATGTACACTATTGTATAAACAGGGTATACTGTACAAAAAGACATTGAGGCTGTATTAAGATGCAGAACTGTTCCCAAAAAAAAAAGTAGTTGTGAGTCTGATTAGTAGGGCATAAGTCCAAACAGTCAGTAAACAGCTCATTAAATGAGGAATATCTATATTCAAGTTTTATAAAATAATACTCTAAAAAAAGATTTTTAGGGGACATCTACTGCATCATCTTTCCTTAGTAAATGTGATAAGACTTCAGCAGTAAGAACTCTAATTTATTAGAAAGGTCACATTCTGTTCTATGTAGAATATAGTAAATATTCAGCATGTGTCATTTGAATTTTAGTCCGTTATAATTAGAATATGTATATATGTATATATATGTTTTATATATACATATATATATATATATATGTATATATATAACACATAAATATAAAATGGACAAAAACTGTGTAATTTCTACCCAGTGGAGGCATATTTTGTCCCTTTAGAAAGTAGCACTTCAGATGTGTTAGGTCAGGTATGTGTCTCCATTTTTGCCTCTGTCACCAAGCCAAAAATGCACACATTTCTCATATATAATTGTTTTCATATTCAATTTACCCACTTAATTTTAAATTTTTATTTCCTTTGAAATGTTCACAGAAATAGACATCATAGCCTTTATATGATTTGAACAATGTAGTATACTATATATATTTTCTGTTTTAAATGTTATTTCCCAAATTTTGTTGTTTGTTTTTCAGCTTTAATTGAGTTTATTGTACATTTTAGGGATACAGTACAGTTACGTTCATTGTTGGGATCTTGTTCCTCTATATGACAGGTCTTGGTTCTCATTTTTACCCCTTGTCCCTGTCGTCCCTTCACCCCCTCCTCCCCTCCCCATCTACAAGCACTTTAATTCCATCTGTTCTTTATCTCACATTTTTTTCTTTTCCCTTTTTACCCTTCCCCTATCCATCCACCTTCCCTACACCTTTAGTCCCTTCTTCCCATTTCACCATGTCAGTAATCTTATTAGGATCTTCTGTATTATTGCAGTTTATTCACACCAGAGAAACCATTCAGTATTTACACATGTGTGACTTATTTATTTCACTTAGTATATCTTCAATATGTATCCATTTTCCTGTGAATGAATCTAATTTGTCATTCTTTATGGCTGAGTAATATTCCATTTTATAGAAAAACCGCATCTTCTTTATCCAGTTTCCAACAGATGGGTAAATGGGCTGTTTCCAAGTTTTAGCTATTACAAACTGTGCCGCTGTAAACATGGGTGCACATACATCACTGTGATATGATTCTTTTAGTTCTTTTGGAAAGATACCCAGCAGAGAGATGGCTGGGTCAAATGGAACCTCCAGTCCAAGCTCTTTGAGGTATCTCCATATTGATTTCCATAGTGGTTGCCCCAGTCTGCACTCCCACCAAGAAGGGAGAAGGGTTCCTTTCTCCTCACAACCCCACTAACATTTGTTATTGTGTGATTTCTTGATAGCAGCCATTCTTTGTTGGGTGAGGTGGAATCTCAGTGTTGTTTTCATGTGCATCTCTCAAATGACTAGTGATGTGGAACATTTTTTCATATATTTACTTACTGCTTTTACTTCTTTGTCTGAGAAATGTCTGTTCATTTCAGATGCCCATTTTTGAATTGGGTCTTTATATTTGGGGGGGTTGATTATTTTGAGTTGTTTATATATTCTAGATAATAGTCCTTTGAGGAACAGCTGGTAAAAATTTTTTCCCACAATGTAGGTTG